AGTTCTGTTGTGAGATGGTTTTTTACTCCAGCTCAGTTCAGGTATATCATTTTGATAGATAACCTTGCCCCCTGTTAATAATGTCTGTACAACAACATGCTGCAGAAAGAGGAGACTGCAGTGAGAGCTGCCAGTTCTCAAGTGTCACTAATGACTCAGTGTTGTGTGCAGGGATCCTAATCATTTCAGTGGCACTAATATTAGAAGGATGAAATTCCACTTTCGCCATGTGCCTTGGCAGGCCTAGAATGTCTAGACTGTCTAGTGTCACATGAAATACATATGTTTTAGAAAACCTCCAAAGGGAAATGACTTGGGGCTCTTTGGATAAGAACTGCAGTTAATCTACTCCAAGCAGAAATATGAAAATCTAGGAACAGCTGTTGAACTGCTGAGGTAGTAAAAATTTAAATAAAATCTGTGGAGAAACAACTAAGTGGTGAGAATGGGTAGAGAATAAATTGATTTTTTTCTGGTAATGGGAAGTTTTATTATGGTTTATTACTCCATATATTATGAGTTTCTGAAAAGAGAAGCTACTGTGTTTTCCCTTTTGCTTGAAATGTCAGTTATTTACTGTCTCTTTATTTTTTTAGGTTACTATTAAAATCTTAAAAATGCAGATGAAGACTGGCTTGTGCAGAATCCTTCTGGTATCTTATGCAGACAAAAGAGAATCCTAAACCAGGTTTTAGTATAAGGTATGTATTAAGGTATATGGCTTTATCCAGCAGTTACTGAAATCAGTCCCCCACTTTTTGTTCAGACTTGTGATTTGATGTAGTTGTTCTTCTACACTTCAAGTAATACTTGATTTCAGATAATGTAATTCCTGGCCTAATTCCTGCCATGTGTTATGTTTTTAAAGGACTTCAGGCATATGCACACAGCCTCTAGCAGTCAGCTCAAGCTCTGGCCAGCCATCCAAACCCCACAGTGCCACATTAATATGACGCCATGGATGTTACTGATACATTGCACTCAGACTCCTGATTGTTTGTACAACCAACACAGTAGTTACTGATTCTGAACAGTCTTTGGCATTAATCAGAGGGCTCTGGTCTGGAAGGTGGTGTCCATGCACTCTGGGAGCATGGGGCACAGTTTGATTTTTGTGCACTCAGGTGTGTAGTGCCATCTGCCCTGACTTTGGACAGTATTTCAATGGTGCTGATAGATAGCAAGGTTTTAAAGGGAGTTCTGTGTGGCTAAGTTCAATAGTTCTGGTAGCTCCAAAATTCCAAAATACCAGTTATTTTTATGAAGTAAAAGTAAATTTAAACACTAGTGGGATTTGACCAAGATTCTGCAAGTTCTAGTGGTAAAGCAAGAGAAACTTGTGTTAATTCTTCTGTGTTTGTTTGGCTTGGCAAAAGGACTCAGAGCTGTCTCTGTAGTTGTGTTAACAGTAAATAAGAGAACTGGGAATATAAAGGACCAGAACAATTTATCTTGTTTTGTAATCACATGTAATAGGTGTCCCTGACCATGGCAGGGGTTCAGACCAGCTGATCATCTCTCTCCATGTGCAGGCAACTTTCTTTGTAAAGCAGGATGCCATTTGGAAGCCTTTGTGGCCAGGCTGCACTCTTTGCTCAGGGTGGTTCTTGGACCTGGTGTTCACCAGGGCCACCATGTCCTTACCTGCAAAGGGGCACTCCAGCCAGCTGGCCTCCAGCCTGTCCTGGTGTCTGGGATTATTTCTCCCCAGGAGCAGGATTTGGCATTGGCATTTCCTTCTGTTGAATTCCATGAGATCCATGGAATTTCCAAGCCCATTTCTCTAGCCTCTCAAGGGATAACTGGATGGTGGCATGACACTATGGCCTTAGCAGAACCTCCTCTCAGCTTTGTCACCTGCAGACTTCTAAGGACATGTTGTCCCATCAACCAGGGCAGAAATGAACATCCTGAAAAGGACTGGCCTCAGTGCAGGGATACTCTGCTATTCACTCAAGTCCAAGAGGACTTCATGTCACCAACAGCCTTCTAAGCCCATCTCTTCAGCCAGTTTTTAGTCCACCTCATGGTCCACTGAGCCTATCAGTAGTCTGGCAGTATCATGACAGGATCAAAATGATAATTGGAGATACTATGGCAAAAGATTTCCTAACCCAAGGCAGATAACATCCACTGAACTGGTCACATCACCAGAGAGGCGCTCCAGTTGGGATCCTTAAGAATTTGCAAATGACCTTATTGTAAATCCATGCTGACTGCTCCAACTTACCTTCTTGGTCCGGAAATGTTTTTTTGGAGTAGTTGTTCCATCACCTTCCGAGGGCCTGTAGGTCCCCGAGTTCCCTGGGTTCTCTTTCCTGCCATTCTTGAAGACTGGAGTGACTTTTGCTTTCCTCTGATCCTTGCACACCTCTCCCAGTTGCCACACTTTGTCAGCAATGCAGGATGGCCTTGCAAGACCAGCAGCCAGCTCCTTCAGCACTCATGGGAGCACCCTAGCAAGCTCAGCACATGTGGCTTGTCCAGTTTGTGTTCTCTAAGCTGGACCCCGTCATGTTCTTGGTTCTGGGAAGGGCACTGACAAGATGGGAAAGTTGTTGCACACCTTCTTGTGGTTCTGCTTTTGCCCTTTACTGAGTAGTCCCATTATTTTCTAGTTGTACTAAAATCACAGTATAAGAATTATCACACAACAACTGGCAATATAAACCAGACTACTGAAATAAGCAACCTACAAGCATTTACTCACAAAATCTAAAAAAGACAAGCAGCTAAAGCTCTTTGTCAGAAAAGTAGAAATAAAACAAAAAATGGCTGCCTAATTTTTTCAGAGTTTGATTCAAATGTTTTTGTCTTTTTTTTTTTTTTTTATCCAGAGGACATTTTGTCTTGACCATGTAGTCATTGGAATTCAGTCTTGTTTGTCATTACATATGAGAGTGCTGCTGTGCACAAGAGCCATTTGGGAACCTCAGTGTTTGGCAGGTTTCCCAGGCATCTCAGAATTTTTCTGTCAGCTTACAGTTTCCTTCCTGTGAAGGAAAAAAAGGGTGGTCGAGGTTCCTTGGAGATACAAGTGTTCCTTTTACTGGCTAAATAACAACTCCTTGTCTCAATGAAGTGATAAGAACCTTTCTTCCTCTTCCCCCATTCCTCACATGTATGGAGGCTTCAGATTGCAGTGTGAACCTGGCTGACCAAGTATAATGGCCCAATGAATTTGTGTTAAGTATTGTGCCAGGCTGCCTGCTCCTGGGCTTCCTGAACAGAGGGAGCTCCAGCGGCCTCGGCGGGGGCAGGGCTGTCTGAAAAATTGCTGGCATTGCTCAGCTCTTAATCCAACTGTGTTTGCTGTAGGGGGATAGAATATAAGAAAATAAAGGTAGTGTAGAAAGTAATCTTACCCCCAAGGAGTTGCAGCTGGGCCACTTATCAAAGACTAGGAACAGGCCTGAATTTAATAGGCCACAGCTGTAAGCAGTGGGAAGAGTGCTATAAAGGAGTGGGGTGGCTGGTTGAGAGGGGAACTGAGGTCAGTTGGCTGCTTTGTGTCGAAGAGTCAGTGCTCTGAGAGCTGCCCAGGAGAAACACCAAGAAGGTATGAAATGTTTGTGATAAGGAGACAATAGTATGGAACCCCTGCAATAACATGAAAACATTTGCTCTTGTGTTGGTCTTAGTTGCCATTTGAGTCTTAAGTGCTCTACTTTGATGACAAAAGGACACTGTCAATGAAGTTATCATTGAAGTGTCTCTTGTAACTCCTCAGCCTGAATTGTACTTACTTCCTGGAAATGTTTGTCTCCATTCAATGCATTAGGTTTCAATGGAAGCTGCTGGTGGCTGCCCACCCTCAGAACTGAAGCTGTTACATTGTGATGATGTGCAAAATGCTGCTCTGCACCTTGGACAAGGACCATCAGGGTGAGAATATAATCGTGTTGTCACTTGTTAGAACTCATAATGGTACGCTTTGTACTCAGTTTTCAGTTTGTTAGTACTATTTTTGTGCTTAATGCATGAATGGTTTTTTTTTCCTTGTGTCTAGTAGTGCTCTTGGGCAAACAAATAATGCTGTTATCTAATAAAATAGTAACTAAATCCATCACACCTGGCTGAAGGTAGGAGAAGGACAAACTGATCATTCTCAGTTAAGCTGTTTTCTCTCTGCTTGCAGACAGGCCAGACCTATGAGACCTGAGGGAAAAGGGCTGTTTGAAATGACACAAAAGAACACACACAGCTTGGAGGTGGTGTTGCCCACCAATACCTCAGCTTGGAAAAGACATAAGAATGTGAATACATCTGCTTGTGAGCTCCAAGTCCTCTTCCTACATGAGGAGACAAGTTACAGCTTTTGTGATGTTACTGTCTTCAGCCTCTGGCACAGAAGGTGGTGCCAGTCCAGTATTTCATAGCAGAGCTGATGTTGGCCTGCTTTGATGTGTAACTGAGGTACTGATGCCCTTTTCATCTAGACTGCGCTCCAGGCAGATTTTCTTTTTAGAAACAATAGTGTTAAGGGAAATGGGTGTAACTAAAAGGATTAAAGTTTGTATGTTCTACAAGAGTAATAAGAGTAAATGATATATTAAATGACTGCTCCTTGGTTTAACTGATTGCTGTTGGACTTTAAAAAAGCCTTTTAAAAAGTAAGAAAATATTTTTGAGCCCTACAATATATGACAAAAAATAGGAAAGTGGTAGGGTTTAAAGAAAAAGCAGTAGTGTGGATTGTGTTTATGTTGCAGTAGTTTAGAAGAATATGAAAGTATTAATTACCTTGAGAAAAATGGTATGAGGCAGTGACAGCTGAAAAGAACTGGAAGGAAATGCTAATCACAGGGGAGATTACAGCTGCAGTAAGTTGTCTGTGCTGTTGAGTAAGGAGTTATGCTACAAATGCCAGCTGTCTTAATGTAGCTCAATAAAAAAAAAAAAACATGAAGAATGAAAAATTAACTTTACGTGATGTGATTTGAACACCTGTAACATACCATGAGGGTTTTTTTCAAATTTCTATAGCTATTGTACAACTGTTTCAAATTAGTAACAGGATGTTTATTTTTTATTTCCCGAAATCAGCAATGCAGTGGACATGAATTGAAGACTTGACTGGAACCTTACAGTTAAATCCTGCAGTGGGAACTGAAGTAAGCTGATGCAGTTGTAGATCCTGGGGGTGAAGAAGCTTTGCAGAGGCTGGTGTGAGGTCCCGAGGGACAAGTGAAGATGAAGGTGTCCACCCCCATGCTGGACTCCATTAACAAATCATGGCTGAGCAGGGGCCAAAAGAGCAATCTCTCCATTCAGCACTTCTGAGACTGCAGCTGAAACACTGTGCCCAGTTCTGGGCTCTTGGAGACAAGAAGATGTGGGAACAAACCCCATGGAAGGCATTGGGCAGTCAGAAGGCTGTGGAGCACAGGAGCCACAGGGGCAGGCAGCAGGGGTTCTTCCAGCTGGAGAGCAGGAGGTGTAGGGGTGGTTAAGAGATCCTGTTAATCTGGCTGCGTAAGAGAAGCGCGTAGAGAAGATGGAGCCAGGCTCACGGCAGTGGTGCACAGCATGGTGGCAGTTTTGTTCCATTGTTTCAGTGCATGGCAGTGGTGCACCATGCTGCTAATAAAAGCAGTACAAGGCAGTACCGTGTGGCTGTACTTACCTGGACTCCCTGCACTGTGGAACCATTGGGGGCTTCCTGGTAATGCTTTGGTTCCAGGAAGGGTGGATGCAGAGGACTTGGTCTGGAGGTTCACTTGTGGTTTTAGGGATCTTAACCCTGCTATTCACTGAAAGAACTACTCTGATATTGACACAGCAGAGCTGACAGATCTATAAAGGTGAGGGAACACCCAAAGTTTTATATCTCCTGTGCAAGCATACAGGTCTCAAGCAACCTTGTAAAGACTTTTTGAGAAAAACTGTCAGCACAATCTTTACAGGTGGGAGGGACTGGGACAGCACCTTCCCCTCTCCCCCTCTGGAGGGCTGTATTCAGTGTAGGACATGCAGCTGCTCTAACAGGGCTCTCTTCCCAAATTCATCAAACTGTTCTTGGCTAGGCAAAGTCCATACAAGGGTGCAAGACTTCTCATTAGGAAGTGGGAGTCTGCACTACAGATTGAGATGTCACCACATGGATAACCCTGTCTCCTCAAGCTCTGGTGGCCCATGCCCACACAGTTGCAGCCAATCCAGTTTTGGAACAGGCCCTCATCTCCCTGGGTGTGTAACAATGTCTTCAGTTCCCATTTGCATGGTTTGGGTTTCTCAGCAGCAGAGCTGTGCCTTCCCTTAAGAGCAAGAGCCACAGCAGCAGAGGGAGACAATGGGAAGGTCTGACCCCTCTACTGTAACTGCAGGAGTGTGACCAGTAACTAACTGATCAGAGGAGTTCCTTACACTTCAGATCATGCAGGAACTATTACAGACATTCTCGAAAAAGATTAATTTCTAGTTATCACGCATGACTGGTTTGCTGTAGAAAAACAGGAGACCTGAAGTCAGAAAGAGCCATCCTCGGCCTGGTTCCTTCTTGCTGTCTGCTATACTTGAGGTATCTGAGCTTTGAGAAACCCTTTTAAAGCTTAATTTTTCCTGCTGCCTCAGTTCTGCTCAAATTTCTAGTGTGTGGTGTCTTTTTCAGGTGTTTTTTTCCAAACTTGTCTTTGTCCCTCACTCAAACATTTTAGCCATGTTCAGAAGGTGAAAAGTACACATCTTTCTTAAATTCAGACTGATGAAAACCCATTTTGTTTTTGCAAATGGGTGCAGAAAGCAATGAAGGCCTGTGACATGGTCAGCTGCATCACCCACCAACCTTCAGCACTGGTGCAAGAAGCCAGAACAGCAGTACCGGTGCTGGAACAGTGAAGGTAAAAACCCTGAGCCTTCAGAACCATCTGCTACCTCTGCAGTTCATGGGAACTGCAGCTGCAGCCCTTGCTGGTGGCAGCAAGAAGAAACTGAGCAAGTACTTCACAGGTATTTCTCCACAGTGCCTAAATAATTGTTTTTTATTGTAGCTACTTTCTCTTCATCCTTTGTCCACCAAAACCTTTTTCAGCAATCGGGTAAAACTCATACAATACAAACCGACAAAACCCAGCTTCAAACAGCTTTTCATACACTTCTTATGCATCTTCAATAGGGATTCTGAATTTATACTGCCAACTAAAAGAGAAAGATGGCTGCAAAATATTCATCCCTAATAAAAGCATCATGAAACCCAGATTTTATTCCCATGTTCTGTAGAACTCCTCCCTCTCTCCCAAGTGCCTCAAGATAAAAAACAAAACAACTCCCCAAATCAACAGCCTCTGACAAACTACTTGCTCTATCAACTCTTGGAGCATTACTACACATTTTTAGGTTAGACTGTACAACAGTTTCTAGATAGCATCTCTATCATTTGGACATTTGATCAAAACACCTTTTATCCCCTGCTGGAGCAGCTCCAGCATTTCCCACTGGCAGGTACTGTACAGAGCTTGTGCCACACACACTGTGCTGCCACACGTCCTGCAGGAGTGACTGCCAGGGGCAGCCATGCCGATGGAACCTGGCACTCCAGCATAAGGAAACACAAGTGTCCCCTTTCCTTATGCATCATCCAGGCTTATGCACAGGGACTACAATTTCAGCTACACAAAGTCCCAAGTGTTGGCAGTGACATACCTGATTCTCAGCCAGTGCTTTTCATGCATCTCAGGTGTTCACACTTAGCAAAGTGAGGTATCTAACATATTTCAGAGAGGTGGAGGTATAAAGTCTGTTCAAAACCCAAATTTGTTAAGCTTTCATCAATACTGTGCAAAAACATAAGCAACTATTCTAAATCAAAACAGAAACAAGTATTTCTATGTCATGCTGCTGTTCTAGTTTTATATAGCTTAATGTGACATTCCACAAAAATTGTGTCCTTCATTACTCATTTGGCATCTCTTAAGTATGAAAGATGTAAAACTTTAAGAACCAAAAATTAAAAACTGGTTAACTGAAATTTATATTAAAAAAATCACAGTTCTTAAAATGATACTTCATACAGCTGCACCATTTGGATGGTGAGCAATCAAAATTATCAAGAATTTATGCACAAGTCTTGCTAATAATATAGGCACACAGTGGCATGTAAACTACACACGACAACTAGAACAGCAAAGGCACGATCTGGTTTGCTTTTTCCTACCTTTCAAGAAGTTGGTTAATTTACAAAGAAAGATATTCTATACTCCATGCAGAAGTATTACATTTATATTTTACAGCACAGGATCACTACAAAACTGCTGTCATCTGATAAAATGGGTCATTTAAATAAAATAGTAATATAATAATAAGATAAAAAGATAGCAGCTTTTCGCACTGAGGAACTGAATTTCTGAAGTAAAGGACAACACATGTTCTGTCATCTGTCAGGCTGAGGACATCTGAAATTCTCTATGTATCTTCTCGTCTACAAAAAGCACTGCCTGGACACTGAAGGTAGCTACAAGTTTTCTGGTCTGCTATTTGCAGCTTGTATTTGTTCTTAGATGTCACCTAAGACCTCAAAAGTTGTCTGTAAAACTACCAGATGATTCTCTAATACCAAAGCAGGTTAAAGCAGAGATTTAACTGGGAACCTGACTGAGACCCTTCTGCGAATGGAGCCTGTTCAGATGTCTTTGTTCACACCTGCAGACTGAACTCTGTTAGTTCAAAGAGAATCACTCTAAGCATAACTGGGGTCTCATTGAGAGACAGGAACAGAAGCAGTTTTAAAACAGAACACAGCCCTCAGTAACTTAAAAGTTAAACCTAATGCAGTCATTTAAAGTGTAATTTCTTCCCATGGCTCCAATAATATGACAGGTCTGCATTTCACATAGAAATGTTAAGAGTAAGTAGAAAATTTTAGTTTACAAATGAAGATCTTTAAAAAAGACATTTCATGTAATTACCTTAAATAGTTCTTATATGCACCATTCCACATTGTGGAAAAGCTGAAATATGCAGTCTGGACTCCACAAGTTAAAGAAAAACAGAGTTATATGTATTGGCACAAATACTTACATCTACATCTGTACAAAGTAAAAAAAGCTGACAACCCTGTCCCACCAGTGCAGCGTACTCAACTGCTCTCCAACACACACTTCCTGCGACTGCCAACGAGTGGCGAGCTGGCAACTGAGTCTTCAGTGTGGTGCCAAAAAGTTCCAAACTGCTTTGTCAGTCTCTGAACAGAGGAATCAGAAGTATATCCAAAAAGTGTCAGTCCACTCATGGCGTGCTCAGAGGTCACTGCAGCTGCACTCTGTAAGCTCCTATGAGCAGCTTCACCTGTAAAAGAAAACAAAGGTTTCCCTATCAACGCTGGCCACAGGTGATTACTGTGTTAAATGCTCCTATGTGCCACAAGGAAAGGCACGCAATTGCTACTGACTAAGAAAGGAAAAAAGAGGAATTATAAAGTCCTTAATAAAATCAGTTTATAGTAGCCCTACTGAGATATGGATGGCTTGTTAGAGGACTCCAGTAGAATACTGCAGCATCAGGTGGTGTTTGAACAAGTTAGCCCCAAATCTGAACCAGACAAACATATACTTCCATCTGAATACACCTTTTTCCACAAAAAAAAAAAAAAAAAAGTACAACAAAACATTTAAGACTATAACTTCAGTGCAACTTTTAAATCTAAGGATCTGGAAAATATACTGCTACATCTTTCTAGGATAAAATAAATGCTACCAGAACAGAATTCATCTTGCAACATGTAGTGGGAAATATTGCCCAAACCACCTGTAAAATGCAACAGACTATTTAAAAGCAGAGCGCATACCCCAGTAAGTATTTCCAACACACAAGTAAAAACATCTGTATGCCAAAAAAAAAGGTGGCCACTGCATGTATCTTTCAGTCATCAAATTCACAATATAGATGGAGAAGATGTTTAGCTGGAACACCAGTTTATCCTAGTGTATGAATTATTCTCACCACAACATAAAAATGTTTAATTATAACAGAACTAACACATGGCAATGTTCCCAAATTCTGGCTATGTCACAGGATGTAACTGTAACTGATGGAAACTGGGATGAGGAGACAGAGGAAAATCTTTTAAGTTTTACATTTGCAACATACAGGTAAAAGCATGCAGACAACGGAAGAGTACAACAAAGAGCATACACATGTAATTTTGAGAACATTTTGTACCTTGGCAGTAGGAGCTTCTGCCAACCGTATGAAAAGCTTGTTAAGGCCTGCAGTAGGGCTGAAGGAATAAATAAAGTGACTGTCCTACAAGGAAAAAGACAATGGACAAAGTTAATGGTAGGTTATGGCTGAAAGAGCTGTGTAAGAGGACTAACAATTCAACATTTTCACTATGCTTTTTTTGAAAGAACATTGTATATGAACCTTTAATGCAACGACTGAGAAAACAAGACTTCAAAATTGCGCAGAGTGATGCATTTAATAGATAAAAAAAACCAAACCAGCAAATAATTATTAGAACTTTGAGGTAGGTTGTTAAAAAATTATTTAAGAACTTTCTTGGGTCAAAAATATGAGAGACTTGGTCAATTAGAGAAGAAACCTCAGTCCCAGAATCACAGAAGGCTGGAGAAGATCTCTCCAGGGCATCTAATCCAACCTCCTGCTCAAGCAGGGCCACCTAGAATCAGTTTATCCAGCACTATGTCCCTAACTTTTAGGTAATATATTTTTATGGAACCTAGTACAAGCAGACAATATAGTTCTCTCCATATACAAAGAAAATTAATTTTCATTTTAGAAAAACATTATAAGGATAAAAAGTATGCTTCATCGCAATACTGTAAATTCAAATTACGGCACTGAGATTTCCCAGGCTGCTCTATAAAGACTTTATGAAGTAGTTTTACAGTCAATCAGCTATATGAAAAGATTTACCAAAAATACAGGGAGCTGGAATTTGTCGTTTAAAACCACAGCTTGTACACTGCATGGTCCACAGAGCCGAGCAACAATGTCTTTACCGAAGAAATTTGCATGGAAAATAAAGAGAAGAATTCCAGATCCTGAAAGGGAAGACAATTCAGTTACATGAATTTAAAATCAGATCCATTATCTAGAACTGTGTACACTAGACCTTTGAAGACAGGTGCAAATACATGTAAGTAAAAACCATCACATGGTGTATATATATATATATATATATATATATATATTAACAAACCAACATGCAAAACTCCCATTTCCCAAACCAGTGGATCCAGAAAACAATTGACTTGGTCACCGAGTTAAGGACTTTTCACAACAGAAATAACTTTATGCGGCTATCAGAAAGGAATTCAAAATAGAAACAGCAATCCTCAGCACAGTTCACTTCTGTGGTTTCAGGTTTACTCAAAGACAGTTATGGAAATTAGTGTGGTTTGGGTCTAGTCAAGAGAACAGACAACTGAGCCCAGATGTTACAGATCTTTATGAACCGCACTGGAATTCAAGAAGCAGCAACTTAAGCTACCCACAAATGTTTCATTTTAATACACAAACTTACATTAAGTTTCTTAATTCTAAAAGATAGGATATCTATATTAAGAACTGGAAGACTTAGCCAACAACTCTGAACAACCAGAAAACTGAGCAGACATACCCACTTTCAATCTCAGTTTAAGTGGATTCTAATAGTCACACTGATGTATCACTTTAAGAAAAATCAGTATCAGTAGATATTTCCCTGATATACTCATCAAAAATGACTTAGAGAAGCCAAGCAGCAGAAAATAGCATCTGAATTCCTGGAAAAATAATTAAATATTCCCAAATACATTGGGAATTTGATTCCTGTCTTTTTCCAAAAGGTTTGTGGGGAAGACAAAGTTGACTGCAGCTGCTTCCTTTTCCTAGTATTTCTAGACTGCATTTGTCTCAGGGCACTGCTGGGACTACATTCCAAGCCTTCAGCACATGAGCTACTGTCCATGAAACAAAAGGATTCACTACAAGACCTTCTCGAGATAATCTAGTAAGCCTAGATTTTCCTGAATCATTAATTCTAAGGTAAAGGTAAACCACTCCTTTCCTATAATGCCTGTCACTGAGCTAAGGCAACCCATGAACAGAAAGAAGCTGACACACTGTATGTGGCAATTAAAAAGCCTTAAAAAACTACAGACAAACTCTACCCATAATACATCAAAATATAATTGCTCTCCCTATGTTCCATAATCAGAGTGTTCTTGATGTGATGTACTGCAAAATCATACAAAAATCATTTTGCATAGGAGATAATTTAAGACATGCTTTAAACATATTGTTCTACCTTTTTTAAACAAACAAAACCCTCCCTACCTTCTGGCACATTCTGTGGAGGTTTATAGTTAAAATCCAAAGAAAAGTCTGGCCCTTCGCAGAGACGATGACACGCAATTGGGAACACTGGCTCCAGCAAAGCAAGGCGAGTTTCAAAATAATTCCTGATGGTATCTTCTGCTACTTTTGAGAGCCTGAAAGACCAAACAAGTGAGGCCTGTTCTTCACACAGTGAATTATTTTACCAGATATAGGCTTGATGAGACATGACACACACACATGCAAAAAAAAGCATTCCAGATCACCTTTTTAGATTCCTGATTTTCAGTAGTGAATGCCCTCCTCACTAGCATTTATAGATAGATGAACCACAGGTCCTAGTACTGTTAATAAAGTATTTTATCAGCAATCTGTTTGTGAAATTCAACTACCAGCTCCAAAAAACTAAAATGTTAATACAAATGCACTGCAGTAGATTAAAAAAAAAGGATTTTACTAGCCACATATTTTGAAGGCTTTATACACAGAAAAATATCCCAGAAACATCAATATATACTTGGTGGCCAAAGAAACATCCCCACTTTCCCAGCCTGATTGAATTATCAATCTGCCTGCAAGTAAAAATAAAGAAGCACATCCCTGTAGAATTTTACTGGCAATACTACTAGAAAAATGCAGTTCCTAGTTAAACTCTGTGAATAAAACAGTGCAAAGGTAGCCATTCTACCACTAAAGGGCAGGCAAAGTGGGGGTTTTATTTGTTTTTTTGGGGAGTTAGGGAACCAGGTGGAGTGGCAGCCCAGCTTTCAAAGAGAGACCGCATTACTAAGTGGTGTCTGGCACCTTTGCAGGCAGATCACTCAGTAATCCTCTTCAGAAAGCTGTTTGGTCAGAAATGGGTTTTACGTGCTTTAGCACAGCAGAGGTCCTGCCTCTGGCAGCATTATGGCTTTTCCAGTTATTATTCAGAACACACTTCCCCACCCTACTAACTGGGACTATCATCTGCAGAATCTAAAACTTCAATGTTTCACAGGAAGGGAACCACAGGAACTACCATGCCTAAGCAAGCCCCAAAGCCCATGTAGCCTGTTTCCCAGATGCTTGACAAAGCCATATTAAATATGAGAAATTAAACAGTAGGTTTTTTTGGTGCACTGTCCTATTTTCTAGCAATCTGATTAAGAGCCATCCAAAACTAGAAACTGCAGCCAAATCTCCTCTCCTTAGATCTGCTTAATCCCTTCTAAAATCCCATGTATTTGTGACCACAGCATTCTGCAACGAGATCCATGATTCAGTTTTGCTGTGCAAAAATATTCTTCCACTTCAAACCTATCACTAGATCATTTAGTAGGATGGCCTGCAGAACCTGTCTCATGGCTTTGGGTTATTTTCTGTTGTTGTTTCCTGATTTCACATTTTGACCATTTAATAATTTTATTTTCAGCTTCACTACTACTATAATGTCATCCTCTGACTGACAAAAAACACTGAACTGGTATTTTCAGTGAGTCTAAAAGCTTCCCGAATTAGCAAGAGCTGTGTTTGACAGACATGACTGCAATCATCAATATTTAATTTCAACTGCCACTTGACTGGCAAAATTACATGGTCAAGATCTTCCAAAACTCATTATTTACATTAGCCAAAACGGAGGGTGGCAGATGTCAAACAGGAAACAAACTGAAAAGGTATCAAAAAGTGAATGAATGACAAAGTCTCACTACACTGAACAGCAGATATCAGATCACTTACTTACCCTGCATGCTTGCTGTTCCCTTCAAAACCTTAACTAACAACAGTCACGATTTGCATCCCTAGGCCAGAATCAGCATACTCCATTCACCCACTTTAGCTGCCCCTGCTCACTTTAACAGGTTTCTAGTTTCTGAAAAATAATTATTACCTTTTATGCTTTTAGCACTTTTTCTTTTAGCATTCTACAAGAGAAAAACATTCCTTATAGTGTTCCTCTGCTCAGGACAGAAGTTTGCTTTGGTGATCTACAGTACCTCAGACAAGCTTTCCAGGGCACTAAAAACAGTGGCCTCACAATACTTTCCTCCTGGTAAGGAACTGGATCCAAACACGTTACTTCAGCAAAAATCAGTAGCACAAAATCTAGCTGGAAACCAATCACTGCTGGTGCACTCTGAGATCAAGAGTGGGTCTGGTCTTGTTCAACAGATTAATTAATGACCCTGTGGATGGTGCAGCAAACCCTTAGCACTTTGGCAGATGAGACAAAACTGGGAGGAGTGGCTGACAGCCTCTGATATCCACAAGAGACCTTGACAGGCTTGACAAGTGGGCTGACAGAAACCTCACCATGTTCAGGTATCTTTAGAAAGTTTCCAAGGACCTGACAACCTCTCTGAGCAGCCTGTGCCAGTGCCGCATCACCCTCAAAAGGAAAAATTTCCTGATGCTTAGAGGTAGCCTCCTGTGTTCCAGTTTGTGTCCACTGCCCCTCGTCCAGTCACTGGGAACCACTAAAAACAACCTGACTCCATCCCTTAACCCTGTCACTTCAGATGTTTTCTGATTGATACACACTGACCATTACAAGGCAGTTTCTGTAAAGACAGACTTAAGAAGTCAGCTGATGGGAAACACAAGAGCTATGAAGCAAAAAACAGCCAGGGCTTTCTATACACTGGAAGAGAATAAGTTTGGATTACAAACTACTTGATAGATTGTCTTAGATTACATATAGGTGAATCACGAGGACTACATCATCAGGAAACAAGAAAAAAATCTTGCACTGAGACAGTGTTCTTCCAGCACTAACTATGCATTCACAGCAAAATCTCACCTGCTGTAGAAGCCACAAGACCCTCCCTAAGTCTTCCCCAAATTTAGAAATGGCTGGTTTTAATTTTCTGCCCATATACATTAACTACAGTATTCCTCCAAATGGGTATTTGGAGAGCTTGCTCCTTCTCTGTATGTTTGTCTCAGTGTAGCTCAGTCCATATGACACCAACACTTTACATGTCACATACACTGCACTGCTCTTCAGTCGTTCTGCTGCATGATACTGATGATGATTTCCATCATCTATTGGCATGAAAGCTTTATCCCTGGCACTTTCTGCTCATAGCTGATGTTTAAAGGTCCAAACAACACCACAGCAACACAATACCTGGACAGACTTTTCATGGTGTTTCAGCTTGGTGTTCTTTTATTCCATTTTCCCCTATGCTTTCTAGTAAGGTATTTTATTTGGCATGCCCTACTAAGAGCTTACATTCAATGGTCCAGTGCTTATACACTTCTAAGTTTTCATGGCTGCTATAGCTTAAGTAATGTTTCTCTTCTAGGAATTACCTTTTCCTCCTCTCCATACTCAGTGTTTGAGCAAGTGTATGCCAATTCTGCTAGCTCACATAATTTTGCTTTCACATGATTTATTAGTTAGCTTGCTGCCCAAATCAGATCTGTCTTCTTTCCAGACATTTTCCTTGACTTAAACCAGAATGATGGCATGCCTAGCATGGCAAACTTCAGCAGAACAAACTTCCAAGTACATTTTACTCACGTTTCCAAGTGGCTCCTGAGCTGCTCATACACCAGTATGTTGTTGCACTGTTTAGCAAAATGCATTGCGCTGTTCTGGTGCTTGGACAAAATGTTGCAGTCGGCTCCGCTTTCAATCATGAGCCGCACTATATCAGAATTCCCTCTTTTACAAGCCTGGGTGGGAAGGGAGAAGATGGAAGGACAGAAAACAATTACAAACCCCTCAGAACAGAGTATACATGACAGCAAGCAGAACTGCAGAAGTGAATTAAAATCCAAAATTAGTTACAATTTAGAACTTTAATTATTTGCTCTGTGAATGGTAACACAGCTTGAAACTCAGGAACACGCTCCATAGATATTTTATCTTTATCCAGGCAGAAGCAGCAACAGTCAGGATTACCAAGCAGACATAATTAGAAAAAAAATAAAGAAAGCAAATCCCAGAAGTTCTGTGAAGACAACTGATCGGATGGAGTTCAGTAACTGTAAATTTTCTTACAATTGTTTACCTCAGTAAATATGTTTCTGTAGAACTATTCAGAAATTACTGAGGTAACATTTCAAGTGTCTGTTTTTCTATGCATCTCAGTTTAAAATGGTACTTTGGGTATGCAATTAATTCACAGAATTTGTCTCAGACTGGTACGTAGCTATGTCAGAAAGCCACTGTTATCATCCTCTGCATAAATGTTCGAGGCTGTGCACTGTTACTTACAGCATGATTTTCAGGGCACATCAACCATAAACTTAACAAAAGCACAGGAAAATCTAAAAAAGGTTTCACTTTGAAGAAAGCAAACACATGGCCTTGATCACTTGTTTTCAAACACTTCACTCAGATAAATTAGGAAAAGGCACAAGAGATAAAACACTTTTATCACTGTAAGACCTTTCAGAAGACAGCTTCTGAAACTTCTCTCTGCTCTGAACTTGGATCTGTGCCTTCAATCCATCATCTTCCATAAACAGTACAATCCACCTGCCTTCCTCAAACCAAAAAACCAAGAAAAATCTCACACAATCTGACAGAAAGGAATTGAGTGCTAAGATCTTTTTTCTCTCCTTTTAGAAAAAATATGACCAAACTCCTAAGGTTAAATAAGAGTGACTTGATAAACACATTGATAAACCCATCAGGTTATCCACAGAGGGCTAGCTTTGTCCCAGTAAGTTACTGGAAATGAAGATCCTATTCTTTGTATCTGCATTGTAAAACAAACACATTGAATAAATCATTGTAGGCTGCTAATTTGTTTGTACAGCTGTCCATCAAAGACTAATAAAAACTTTAAAGAAGGTCAAGACTGAGGTTCATGGAAGTACCCAAATTATGAAGAGATTTTGGAATTGAAGTGGCTGAGGAAGCCAGAAGTGAGTTGTTGTCTTCAGAGAAAATGTGAAATCCCCACTTGTTGAGCCTCACAGAGTGCAGAACAGAAACAATACCACATTGTCTGGGCAGGAAAGCTTCTGTAACCTCTTTGGCAAACAAACCACACAAACAGCCTACACATAAATACAGCAACTTCATCCAAAGGGGAACTTTGGTGAAATTCATCCACATACAGAAAAAAATATGAAAAGCGCAGACTGTTTTAAGAGTATTAGAATTTTCCCATTGCAAAAAGTTTTTTAAAAAAATCAAGATTTCCTTTGTGACTGGGGGAATAATGGTGCAGAACAGGCACTGAGAATCAGACTGTAAATTGGCTATTTTATTTCTGGCCTGCAATAAAACAGCAAGTGCCAATCGCAGAAGCACCCAAGTGAAAGATTATTCTTTCTGGATTTTTTCTCTTCCTGCTGACAATTTGATTATCTCAGCTGGAAAACCACATCTGCATTTCTTTGAGCCAAACAGCACAAGAGGATGATGAGCCACATTTAGCACTGCATGCTGAAGGCATCTGTGTTTCTTGTTTAGATATTACAGTACATTAAAGAAATGGATTAGAACTCTGCTTAGCGTAACTATGAAGGGTATTTTTATTTCAAATCTGGAATGTGTTCCTGAAATGAATTCTATAAATAGGTTTTTATGTTTTACTAGTTTGACAAAAGTATTCCTAATAAACCACATAAGGACAAACACACGATTTTACCTTCATTAAGGCAGTCTCACCACTGCTCTGCTGCATGTTCACATATGCTCCAGCTTCCAGAAGAATAGCTACCGTTGTTAGAAAATTCTGGGGAAAAAACCAAACCAAACCCACAACACAAGTAAGTAAAAAATATTCTGATTTTGTTTCAGAAAATAAAATGACATTTACTTAAAATTCATCCATAGAACTCAAAACATGAGTCATGGTACAATTAACACTGTTCTCTCCCATGGCTAATAAAGAGCATTTCAGACTTAGGCAAGTGGATAGTCCTATTTATTTACAGTTCTTACATTTTTTTCCTAAATCCTGCAATAACAAACATCACAGAGAGGAAGCAGTGTATTTCCATGTGCCACCAAACGGGAATGAGGCTCCCCACTGCCCTTCTATCTACTGTCATGGGACCCACCTGAACAGAGGAGTGCACCCATGAAACCCTGACTTGCTCCAACTTACTGCTTGAGCTGTCTTACTTTGGGAAGAGCTTGCCACTGTGTTCACTGCCCAACTGCTTTAAAATACCAAATCCTGTTTAGTCAGAGATTTTCTAAGTGTCTCCAGTTTGGATCCTGTGTAGCCAGATATGATAACAAGCAATTCTACCACAAGAACTTCAGCTTCACTTTTCCTCCTATGATATTCTCTGCTCAGGGCAGGGTTTGTGATCAGAACTTATTTATACTACAATAACCACAGCTGCTGAAATTATTATTAGTTACCCTGCTGTATCTTGCTAACTACATTTTAGGCATCATTCAAAGGTAAAAACCTGTGTACTGCCTTTAATCATAAGTAAAAGAGCTCAGAACCACAAACAGAACAATAAGCAAGCCAACCTTTTCAGCTGCATGTATCAATGCAGTTGTTCCATTTTTCTGTCTACCATTAACTTTAGCTCCTTTCCTGATCAGCACCCGCAGAAGGTCGTCGTGCCCTCCAGCAGCAGCAAGCATTACCAGGGTCATTCCACTTGGGTCCTGGGAAAAAAAAAATCATTTCCATTACAGAAAAATAACAATAAAAAAAAATACTTCAAGATAAATCAAAGCTGCAAGACAAAAATTTCAAGTGCATCAACATGTTTCACAAGGATTTCCCTCCCTGGCAGAAAAATTCACACATACATGGCTGCCAGACATCAGCAAACTATCACCTCCCACTTCTCTGGTCTGCAGGTCTCACACTCCCAGCTCTATAATCTGCAAAATCCATAACATTCTGAGGATCAGAACAAAAAGCAGAAAAACCAAAATGAACCAAGAAGAAAGGCTGTAGGTTATTTGAGGGTGGGGAAGGCAGCAAGACTGTCAACACCCATGGAGAAAAACCACTATGGCTCAAGTCAGCTGCTCTCACAATACTGCCTTTTGATTTTATCAGAGTGTAAGTACAAAGACACTCTAACCAGCCAGTCTCCTCACTCATTCCTGCATTTTCCACCAGACCTTACAACTCACAGAACACGTGCTGGCCTCAGCAGTTTATTTCTCATCTTCCCTACAACACCTCAGAAGACTCAGCATAATGTTGAACTCTCAAAATGCTGCATAACACAGCTACACAAGATCATCAGTGAAAATACCAATACTGGAGATTTTAGAACTCAAAAATGGAACTACAGTCCTATTCAACAGGAAAATAGATGCTTGAAAGTAAGAACATAGCTGATAACAAACTGGCAGAAAACTAATTATGAAGTGGTCCCAGTATGTCAAACACCTTGCAGGTTTTTGGGGCTTTTCAGAGTTTTGTTTCCCATGTACAATGTTTTACACAGTTCAGCCACTTGTACTGATGGTTACTGTTCCTAATAGCATGAAAAGTTCCACATTTAGTCAGTTAAGTACACTGGGCAAGTTGGCTGGAAAGCTACTGGGATGGTTCTACCAAACTTCATTTTTTCTTGGAAGAAATGGATAACAAATACTGAAACTTCCAAGTCTGTGCTCCTTTTTAACCCCCTGTGCTTTTTGTTTACTTAGGTGAGATGGAAGTCTGCTACAACATAAGAGGGGAAAGCTTTTCAAATAAATCAAAATTTGTATTCTTCCCTCCAACTGTCTTCCAATACTTCTACTGCACAAAAATTACCTCTTGATCCAAATTATATTCCTCATTTGAAGAAAGCGCCATTTTCACCTTCATGTAGTCTCCACTTTTAACAGCATCTCTGAGGTGAGCTAGAAAATAAATTCTGTGTTGTTATAGGATATTTCCCTTTGAAATGTCAGCTAAGAAATACCCCTTCTTGCCAGAAAATACCCACCACTTGATATTGGTTCTGTTGATACATGATTCTCATCTTCTCCATCCAGATGCTTCTGGAATTCTTCTAGTGTCAGCCACTCTAACTGCATGTCCATACCCAAACTCAGGACTTGCTGCTTGCCATCTATCGTGTATTTCATTTTGTGGAAGAAAAAAAAAAGTAAAATAAGCAATAAATTGTAAATTTTCAAGCTAATGAATGCTTGCCCTTGCTTCAATGAGCAGCAGCTTAACAAATGACTACTGCTACTTTTCATTCAAATAAACCCTGGCAGTCAGCATGGAATGGTTCTCAGCAGCAAAGGCTACATTACAAACAAACATAAAAAGCTTTTACTTGTAAGAAACTGCCAATTTGTGGTAATAAATAAGGCTGAAGTGATTATGGGAAGGTGAACACTCCATCACTGTGGTAGCAGAAGCACTGGAAACAGTGAGTTTCAAAAGAAAACTTCATTTCAGTCCCCTGCAGAGACAAGAACTGGAGCACTCGAGATGCAAGCAGGAATGGAGAAAATCTTCACTACCAGTGTTCTCCATCTGACCCACATTCACTAGTTCTCAATCACCTTCTGCAGCAATCCCAGTCCATCTCTTTGCTTCATCCCTTATATTTCTCCTTTCCTTGTACACCTTGCTCTTTAAATTCTTCTATGAATTTCCACTCTAGCAAAGATTCTTTTCTTTTGCAGTTATTCTCATAATATTATTTTTTTTTCTTCTGAAGCTACATTAAACAATTCAAATGCACTTTTGATGACTTTAAAGCCTAGAACATTAAGACAGTTACCAAGAGTGACTACTTGAGCCACTAAGGACTATCACACAACCAAATTTTAGTATATGACCAGCATCAATTTAGAAAAGATCTGTTCTCTTTCTGTAAGGTATTGGAGCACAGTAGCAAGCTTAGCATAAGACAGAAGTCAGGGAGAGCTAGTCCACCTCCACCTATCCTGGCAAGTCTGATTTCTGGCTGCTTTACACATGGTACTACCTTCCTTTTAATAAATGCTGCTTAGAATTGTGCATAAATACTATTTCTGAAGTTTGGTTCAGTATCTGTGATTACTACGCAAAGTACAAGTGCTGCACAAAAAAAAAATCACTACTCATTCTGCTTCTTACTACTTTTCCTAAGCACTGTAAGCATCTATGCCACTTTCAGAAAAGGTGCTTCTCTAGTGAAGGAATTTATCCTGAAAAAAGTAATCCAGAGCTACTGTGAGATGAAGAGCAGTAACACTAATAATCCATTATACTATTAGGAACAGAAACAGAACCTAGACATTCTTTATTGTGTATGTAACCATCCAGGGTTGTATAACATAACTTGTCTCTGTGGCTGAAGCAAGAGGCAAGATGTTTGTCTGATGGGAGCCCCTACTAATTTTTTTAATATTGTCAGAACACTTCTGAAAATAGCCAATAGTTGGATGAATTCCTCTAAAAAAAGCTACAATTACATGCCAGAGAAGCACAGTTGTCAATTAAAAAGGGCAAAATTAACTTGTCTACAAAAATGTCAGAGACTTCTATATACTTCTGTGCTTCATACATGAAGCATATATTAACATTCTCATGAAGCATGTATTAGCAAAGCCATAGACCACCAGAGTTTTGCTTCCTAAAATAAACACAGAATTCCTTATTTCTGGTGTGTGTGTGTGTGTTGCAAAACTACACAATATCTGCCTTATAGAAATAAGAAGAGAATGCCCTGAATGGTCATTCCCTTCTCTATTTCAAGAAGTTAGCACTTACTTTTTAGGACTTTCTGTTCTTTTCTGGTTTTTTCTTCTTTTTCAGGCTCCTTTTTTTGAGATTTTTCTTTAATTTCAGTTTTCTTTACTTCTTTTTCCTAAAATTGAAAGCGAAGACCAAATTTTAGTGGTGGAGAAAAAAAAATGGAAAATTAACTCCTTTCACCACTCCAACAATAAAGTATATTGACAATTAATACTACTGAAACCTATATGCAACAGACTAGTAGACATTCCTAAGAATTAAACAGGTGAGTCAGGAGTTAAGTCTGTGAAGGCTTTTTCCAGAACAGTGGAGGTATTATTTCCTGAACATAACTTCAATTCATAATTTTACCGCATCCCAGCCATTCAAGTTGCCTTATGGAAGAGCTGCAAATATGACAAAATCAGCATTTTTAAGGAAATTCAAAATTAGAAACTTTTTGTTTGTTCCAAATAGTAAACCTGAACAGAATGTAATTATTTCAGAGTATTTAACAATTTTTTAGCACCGTATTTGAAGTATTATGATATCATTGAGTTGAACCTCAACTGAGAAAACTTGACAGTTGGACAGAAAAGGTTCCAAGCTTTGCAATTTACACAGACAGAATGTTATGGCAACAGTTATTTGCGAAAAACAGACACAGCAAAATCCACCCAAAGTCATTATAACCCTGCAGAAGTCTGAGCTTAGCAGTTATCTAATATCACAGAAGAAACTTATTGTAGATGTATATATAATCAAATTTGCCAAAATGGAATCCAGGTTTCTCTACCAAAGTTTGCCTTTCTCCTTCTGTAATCCTCTCTCTCCACTCACCAAATTCACTGCAGAGTAGGTTGGACAAGGCTCCTTGGCATGGCTTTGTATCAGTCTCTGACACTAACCTGGCAAAGAGAGTAGCACTGTCTTTCTGACAAACTGCCCCAAAAGAAGTCCTCACAAAAATTTACATATATGCTACCATGTGACAGAGCAACAACCTTAATTAAGGCCGATTAATTTGGTGTATCATTATGTATTAGCAGAGCTGAGACATTTAATTGCTTTCCTCACCACCCCCCTTCCCTCCACAAACCTTGGCTTTTGATCACTGACGTGATTAATGCAAACACAGGCAGCTGTTCATCCCACCAGATGCTCAGTCTTTAAGAGGAAATCCATAACTTACTACAGGGACTACCAGATACGTGCTACAGTGGGGCTGTTAAAATCAGTATTCTTTCCAGTTAAAAACAGAATTCTATTCCAATTAAAATCAGTATTCTATTCCAGATTTCTAATGCTGATCAGATGCAGAACATACCCTTTTTTTTTTTTGAGGCAAATGAAATGGAAGGAATGGGTCAGCATGCAGACCTGGCCCCAAACAGAAAATACTGTGTTATAAATTGGCATGACTGGTGCTCCATAAGCAGAGTTACATAAGGAAAGACAGGTACCTGAAATATACGTGATGATTTTCTTTGACAGGTATGATCTTGTCTGGGCCAACAATTTAGTGAACAAAAAATACCCTGCAGAACTCTCCACCAAACCTAGCCATGCAAGTCCACAGCTGCTGAAGAGAATAACTAACCAGTTACAGGAAACACTGTTTAAGCCTTCTACACTCAGAAGCAGAGAGCAGAACGCCTTCCATGCTTTGCTGGTACCTCAGAGCACGACCTTCCTTGGAGCACGACCACGAGAAAAGCACAGAGATAACTCACTGAGAATGCTGACTGAAGAGCCACAGGCAAACCCACTGTCCTCTGCTCTTCATTCATTCATGGTCAAGGTGACAGGATTTTTACACTACTGGTAAACAGAACAGAATTCCAAAGATTTTTTCTATTCTTGTCTCTCTCACAAACACTATAGCCTTGAACTGTAAGTAAACCATTTGGGTAATAAAGAACAATATCGCTTCAACTAATTAAATAGCCTTCTGAAACTGGCCTATGCCTCACAGTAATTCCTTGTTTTCCAGAACTTTCAACACTAAGATCCTGCAAACACACTCTTCTGTGTAGTTCTACTCTGAGATTATGACACATAATTCTCTATCCCCAAAATAACTTATTTAAAGTGACCTACTCCATACACAGAACAATCACAAGCAGAGGACCACTGCTGAACCTGCAGAAGTAACTTCCCACCATGGAATTATGGTCTCAGAAGCGGCATACAGTCCAGTAAGTAACAATGTGTTTTGGTTGCATTCCTGTTAAATCAGAACATGGCTGCTCTGAGCAGACAACGTTTTATGAACTGCAAACTGTATTAGAACAGGCTGAAGAGATGAAAGAAATTATACTCCCAGAAACATTACAAAAAACTGTTATTTTTGTGATAATTTTCTTCTTTTGCCTTTGCAATACTGCTTTTCTTAAAGCACTACTGTATTAAACAAGGAACAATAAATATCCTGGTATTTGCTTATTTCTTACAACAGGTACAGCATTTCTATTTCTATTTAATATGAAACCATGTCATGAAACAAAACATTTGCTGTAAGCACTCCAGGAATTCTTACAAGACAAGCTTGTTACACAATTATTTGGGAGACCTGGGTTTTGGAAGTGATTTCAGCATTGCAGTTCTCAGGCAGGCGCCACCCCAGGTAATCCTTTTTGGAATGGTCAGTGTCTGAGAGAACAAGTGTTGCTCAACACTGTTCTGCCTTACTATACAAGTAAAAAGAAGTCAGATGGGGAAACTCCTGAAGGTGGGCACAAACAAAGCTAAAAATAACAGCATGCCTTGCAAGAACAGGAAATTTCATTCTAAGAGAACACAGTAAATGGGGAGACATTTATCCTTTCACATTTGTGCTCTCCTTTCCTAAAGCATTCCCCCCCTTAGAGCGTTCAGAATCCAGAAATTTCCCAGTCTCTGTTATACACTGTGCAGTGGGTGTTTCTTTAAGCTCATGCAGCTCAGTACCTTTCCAATCTGTACTTTTCTCTTTGCCATCATGAACAGTCATGGTTTGAGGTATGTGTACCTTGAAGATGACTGATTTTACCCCCAGGGCCCACGCTAACAGCGCTTACCTCCCCAGGGGAATCCATGGGCCTGCACACCCTTTCATCCACACTCAGTTTCACACCCTTCTGCACTGGTGAAGGAGCAGGTGACACCATCTCCAACTCTCCTGGTACTTTTTCTTGACCTGTTTGCCTTTTGTGCATGCTCTTCTTCTCTAAATGACTATCCTGAATTTCTACTTTTCCATCTTCTTCTCTACAGTCTTCTGCTTTCTGAATTTTCTTCTTCTTTCTTTTAGCCCTAGTATCAATACCATCATCTTCATTACTTGCTGATCCATCAAGATATTTATCAGGAATGCCATCTTTTTCATCAATTTCTTGTTCCAATCTCTCTTCTCCACTTATTACCTTTTGTTTCTCATCTTTATTTTCAGAATTTATGTTTGAATTTTCATTATAAGTCACTTGAGAAATTGAATCATCCACAGGACTTGATTCTGAGTCCAACTGAACATCTCCATACTTCTGTATGTACTTAGAATCTTCTTTAGATTTTATTTTTAAATCTTCTCCCTTCTTTTTCTTGATTTCTTTAGTATCTTCTTTCCTTTGCTTCTTTGGGTCTTTTGAATCCTCCTTAGTTTCTAAAGTCCTTTTTTTTGGCTTTGAATCTAAAACCAAAGTATCTGAGGAATTTTCACATTCTGTTCTGGGTTTTTCCTTGGCTTTTGGAGACTTAGATTTTTTCTTCTTCAGGTCATCTGAACTTTTATCCTCTCCCTCTTTTGACTTCTTCTTTTTCTTCTTTGGTGAAACATCATCATCTTTTGTTTCACTTTGCAAGTCGCTGTCAGACTCTGCTTCAAATATATCATCATTTAGAAATGGTTTCTAAAAGGTAAAGAAAAAAAATTAAAAGTTTTTCCTTCCCCAATAAGCTATCACTTTGGTACAAAGTACACAAAAATGGTAGTGGTCGTGCTTGGGAAAAATAAATTTTTAAGCATTTTAATCTTTTGATCCCTGCCAAGAGCATTCCTCATTGCCAAACTGCAAAATGTGATAATACAATTCTAGCTTACTTACCTAAATTACATAACTAACTGCTTGGATGAGAATCAACACACAAACAATTCAAGTAAACCAATTACACATCCAACCACCGTATTCTAGAACAGAACAATTCTGAGCGATTCTGCATTAAAAACAATTGATTTGATTTTGTAGGATTTACCTACAGGTTTCCCAGAAGCAGGGTACCAGTTTCCAAAAAGGATCCTTATACTGCTTTTTCAGGCTAACTGAGCTGTTAAAAAGAAGGAAAAAAACCCTATATTCTGCCCTCTGGCATCTAATCTTTCTGTATTTCTCTCTTACGAAACTTAATGATTCCATGTTCAAACTCACTGATCTCCTACAGAAAGCAGGAGGATGACTGGAACACTGTGCCCTGCTTCAGTATCAAGACAATATGCATGTGGGTAGGGAAATGGGGTTATTTATATTGTCAAAAACAAACTAAAATGACCATACATTACTTACATAGTCCCATTAGAAATGAAATTGAAGTTTAGATGGATTCAGTCTACAAGCAAACTTGTCAACAAAAAAAAAAAAATCCCTACCAGAGAACAGCAACAATATTAAGTTTCACAAGAAACAACAAAGTTTTGGATGAGATTTTTTAATTCCACGTTTCAAATGCCTTCCCTTCTCCCCTCCTCTTATTAGTAGAGTCTAGATAGGGATTATGTCTCCAGGGTAAGATACTGAAGTTGAAACACACCTGTATTTCTTTTTTAACAGATTTAGGCTTGTTATCCACAATCTTTTTTCTGAATTCAAGAAGCACTTCTTTGCAGTCTTCCAAGTGAGCCTCTGGTTCCCAGGTATCATCATCAGAGGTGTATCCTTTCCACCGCACTTTATAGAGAGTTTTCCCCTGTAAGAAAAACCCACAGCATTTAACACAATAGAGCACAGTATTGCATCAGCCAGTCAGTTCTTGAGCATGTCAGTGGATATACAATTTTGTGTATACATATACATATACATATACATATATATATATATATATATATTTGTGTGTATATATACACATATATATATATGTATATATATACATATATACATATATATTTCTGTAGTTGGAACAGTTTTATCCAAAATACTTCCAGTATCTAACATTTGTTCAGAGCCACAGCTGCAATGTACATATCATAAATTCCCAGTCAATTTATCAAAATGGGTTTTCTGACACTTATGAAATGATTTTTTTTCAAGTTTTAATATTTCTTCCATAAAAATGTCAAGACTGATGGTTTTCTCTTTGCTGAATAACTTCATATAAATCCTTAACACTTCTAATGAAGTACCACCACTCACCAAGTTCCATATTGAAATTTATAATTTATGCTATATTTGTAATCAATTCTATTCTTGATAAACAGAAATACCAACAATAAGGAAAAAAAAACCCAGCAATGAAATCAGGTTAAACCTAGACAAAAATCTGAGTGTGTACATCTCAGTGCAGCTAGTTACAGAGAATTTGGTAGATTACATACAAAAATCTGAGACCAATTGTTTCAACATTATTGAACTTCACTGAGGGATAAAACTGCACCTTGCAGACTCTATCTAGCTTTTTCTACTAAATTATGAAGTTCTTTACCATTAAAAAATTATTTTTGTAGCAAATGTACTTGGGAAAGCACCTTTGGAGAGGCAAAATAGTACCTCTCACTTTCAAACATGGACTGATAACGCTCTGAAAGACCTTACAGCGCTCACCAAGCCTGGAGAAAAAAAGCTTCAGGAAGAATTGCCAACTGGCACTTACTGTTAAATGTCCATGCATAAATTTTTGCCTGAGCATAATTAACCTTTGACCAAGTGTATAAACATGCCACGAAACTTCAGCAACCAACTGACCAACTCTATTTATAATCTTCTGTATTTTGCTTCACAGACATCTAAATAAATAAATAGTCTGTATTCAAACACCTTAGTTTTAACATTTCTCTTAGAATTTAGCTTAACCCATCTCTCTTGATTTAGGAGTTAAGTTTCCAAAATCATATTCCCCTCTCCTCTTTTTTCTGTTGGGGTTACTTACAAAATATGCAACCAGTAACTCCCTCATTACAGTCACAGAGTGTGTTAGGTTACAAAGGATTTCCAGAGCTAACAAGTAAAATGCCCTCTGAAAGCAGGACTGCCTCCATCAGGCTGCTCAGGTATCCGCCCAGTCAGTGTATCTATGCAGGGGTCCCTGTCTTCCAGCTTGTGTCCTCTGTCTGTCACATCCTTTCCTTGTGCACCCCCAGGAAAGATCTGATCCTGCCCTCTCCACATCCCCCTGTCAGATACAGATATTACTCTGATCTCCCCTGATTCTTCTCTTCTTATGGCAAAGCAAATCCAGCTCTCAGCCTCCTGTTTTCATTACCCTCCTCTCTGGTACGTACATGTCTTTCTGTCCTGGGGAGCTCAGAGCTTCACATGCTACTCAGGATGCTTCTCAGCAGTCTGAGAAGAGAGCATGAAGCACCTCTCGATCTTCTGGCCACGCTCCTGGGCGCTGCTGGCCTCCTTTGCTGCAGGAACTGCTGACTCATGTTCACCTTAGCTGCCTGTGGGGACTCCCAGCTCCTTTCCCGCAAATCTGTGTCCTCGCCAGCTGGACTCTCACCGGCCTGCTGGCACAGGGCTATTCCCTTTCAGATGCAGGACTTTGGCTAGGTGCAGTTAGGAACATCCCTGTAACTCAGGTACTAAATAAGCTACAAATCCTTCTTTCATTAATTGAGAAAGTTACATGAAGTCTAATGCAAATGCAAAACCATTTGGCTGCTGAATGACTATATCCTGTACATGGAGAGTGACAGAAAAATGCAACTTAGGATAGCTTCACAAAATTCAGCTTAAGTGAAGGCAGAAGAGTGATTCTCCCACCTAAGAGGCACAGTCTTACACTCACCTATCAACACTCTCACTCAGTATTAGTTTTTTTTTCCTTCTGTTATCACTTAGAAAAAACTGAATGCTTCCAAGCATTTTTATACTGCTCTAGCTTCTGTGAGAACTAGTGATGAGCTAGAACCAACTTGTATGGAAAAGGATACCACCCTGTCAATTAAACAGACCAATTAAAATTTCCCACTTCCACTGGGGAACATCACAATTTGCACCAGAGCCTGTTGTTGGAGTATAACTGAGGTGCAGAACAAAAAGCTTTATAGATACACTGACGGCATTTCCAAACTTTCACTGCTTGCTCTCTTAAGTAGGTCACGTTAATGTTTTATTTATGCACAGGTCTAACTCCCAACCGGGGAGTGCTGTCCCTCATCCCATCACCAGGGACGATGGGATGCCAAGCCCAACAGCACCAGTAGTGTGTGTGGGAAGAGCACTCCCTGCAGGGCTCTGCAGCTGTGACACTTCTGTTCCGTGACACACAGCACCCCACACCACGCTGCCCAGTGGTGACTCCCTCTGCGGTGACACCTGGCTCTTCCCAGCCCTTCTGGAAGTTACACCCGAGTATGAGCTCCTGCCTTGCCCTACGCTGGTGGAGCACAGCCCCGGCTGCAGAGCAAAGGAGAGGGCACCTGCTGAGCCTGGAGCTCAGGTACAAAGCCACAATCACCATGGGCTGGCTACACCCACACGCTGGAGCTGACCCAGCCTGGAAAACTCAGGCACACAGAGCTCACTATGTGCTGCAGAACGGGCTGCTGGGAGGGGAGGGAAAAGAGACACCCTGTCACCACCACGTGCCAATGACACTTTTAAGAGATGGTACTTGATGTATCCCAGTACTCTTTAATGTCTCACCACCATGACCACCTACAGACTTCAGGTTCCATCACTTGGAGGTGGGTGGAAAGAATTAAAAAAAAAAAAAAAAAAAACCAAAAGGGAATCCTCTTGTTTTCAAGCCTAATTTATGTTGACCAACACTCCACTTCTATAAATACTGTATTACCCTGAAAGCACAACATACTCTTAAGACATCAACATACTTCAGCTAAGGTACAATTTAATAACATCACAAATATCGAAGAAAATGCTGATCTGAAGGCACTCCAGACTAAGGATTTCAAGACTCTGATCTTTTACATGAAATTGACTGATTTTTATAATGTCATAGACTGAAGCCTAAAACTAAAAAGCATCAATTAGTTAAAATAAAAATCTTTCAAGCACAAAATAATTTAAGAAAACCCCTGTGTTAATTATTTTTACTATTTGAGGTTTAGGAAATTTTTTAAAAAACTTCAACCAGTCTAGGGGTTTCAAAGAAACAAATCAAGGCCTGGTATTTCATTTTAAACAATACAAGATGACTACAGCTTATTATTTCAATTAGGAGAAGACTGTTATTTCAGGTCTTTCCCGGTTTTGTCTGTGACCGTGGTCCCTGGCAACATACCTTGAAAACACCTCTAAGCTCACAGTTCTATCCAACCCTGCCCATCTCTGCGCTAAAACATTTCACATCTAAGCAGTGCCGCAGTTCGGCGTCAAGAGCCAAGAGCAGTTTAATAATGCAGACAAAACCCAACAACTCAGCAAAGACCTATTTTTGGCTGGGGGCACAGAATCCGGAGCAGGGCACAGAAAGCCTCCTTGCAGAGCCGTGCCCAGCACAGCTCACGCTGCACCCCTATCGGGATTACCCTTTTCCCGTGCCCCCGCGGCCCGGTGCCAGCGAGCCGCGCACTCACCCCCTCGTTCTTCACGTCC